CAAGAAGCCTCACCGCTACAGGTAAGGCTGCCGGCACGGCACGGCACAGCGCGGCCCGGCGCTGCCCCTGCCCCGGCTCACCCGCTCCCTCCTTCCTCCTCCAACCAGGCCGGGCACCGTCGCCCTCCGTGAGATCCGCCGCTACCAGAAGTCCACGGAGCTGCTGATCAGGAAGCTGCCCTTCCAGCGGCTGGTCAGGGAAATCGCCCAGGATTTCAAAACAGACTTGAGGTTCCAGAGTGCAGCCATCGGTGCGCTGCAGGTATTGCTAGCGGCCTGCTGGGCCCCGGCGGTCGCGGCACTGAGCGTGCTTCGCTGAGGGTTTCTAACGACATTTCTTCTTGTGCTCTTGAAACAGGAGGCCAGCGAAGCATATCTGGTGGGTCTGTTTGAAGATACAAACCTGTGCGCCATCCATGCTAAGAGAGTCACCATCATGCCCAAAGATATCCAGTTGGCTCGCAGGATACGGGGGGAGAGGGCTTAAGTGAAGGCTGTTTTTATGGTGTTTTGTAGTAAATTCTGTAAAATACTTTGGTTTTAATTTGTGACTTTTTTGTAAGAAATTGTTTATAATATGTTGCATTTGTACTTAAGTCATTCCATCTTTCACTCAGGATGAATGCTAAAAGTGACTGTTCACATAAACCTCAGTGATGTTGAGCCTTGTTGCTCAGGAGTGACAAGTTGCTAATATGCAGAAGGGATGGGTGATCTTTCTTGCTTCTCATGCATGTTTCTGTATGTTAATGACTTGTTGGGTAGCTAAACTTGTAAGGTACTAGAATTGATATAAATGTGTACAGGGTCCTTTTGCAATAAAACTGGTTATGACTTGATCCAAGTGTTTAACAATTGGGGCTGTTAGTCTGACCATACATCACTGTGATCAAATGTGGACTTTTTCAGAGGGTGAAACTACAAGTCTTAACCACAGTGTAACTTACAGTTTCCTAAAAACGTAAACCTGGCAGCTATAGAATACACTATGTGCATTTATAATAGCTATTTTATATATTGTAGTGTCAACATTTTTAAATTAAATGTTTTACATTCACATGTGGGGAGTCTTTGTCATTTGGTTTGTATGGGCTTGAAGAAGCTTCCTCCTCCTGACTTCAGCAGGTTAGCAGTAGATGCCTGTAATCCTGGACTGCTGCTGTGGCAACTTAATTTTGGCTGTCAACAGAATGGAGGACTTGCCCTGGCCACCCTTGGAGATTTTTTTGGAGGCTTTCTGTAGCTTGAGTCATTGCTCTGGGCTGGTGGGGCAGATGAGGAAGAGCCTGACTGCTGAGCCTAGGCCAGGCAGCAGCCTTTTGGGGGGACTTCCAGGGTTTTTAACTGCTCATCAGTGTTAGCTCTTGAGGTGCAACTTGAGAACTAAGCTTGTTTTTTCTCCTCCTTTCCAGTAAATGCAGGGGAGACTTGTTTTGGTGCTGTGACTTGGCTGCCTGAAGCAAACCCACCAGCTCGTTTCCTGAGCAGCGCTGGGGTGTGGGCTGTGTGGCTGCAGCCCACGAGTTTCTGTGGGACCTGGCCCTGTGACTCAGTCCCAGTTAATAACAGCAGCCAGCACCAGCAGCACAGGACTGTGTGTGAGTGGAAAAGCTGGTTACCCAGCTGGAGAGATGGGGGCTGCTGAGCATCTGGAATAGGCGTGGGCTGAGGCTCATTTCCCAGCTAAAGCTTTTTTTGATGAAACGGGATTAGATCTTGGGCCTTCACTTCAGAACAGATCTTTGGGCTCTGGGCTAAGACAGGTCTGGTTTTCTCTGCAGTGCCTCTGGGAACAGCCCTACCTCTTAGGTTGTGGCTGAGGAAAGCTGCTCAGACTACAGGTAATTAACATTTAAATTGAAGTGCGAGGCTGGCTCTTGGCTCTTAAAGAACAGGCTGCACTAGTAAGACTAGAGTTGGCACAGAAAAGCAGCGCAGGCAGTAGTTCAGCTAGCTCGTCCTGATTTATTTCAATGAAATTAAAAAGTGCTGCGGCACAAGTGGCGTTTCGGGAGAAGAGGAGCCGTGGTTCACACCAGAGGGCAGGTGGCGAGTCAGCCCTGGCCGTCTGCGCCATTGTTTGCAGCCCGGGTGCGTTTTCGGCGCTTCCTTCCACCAGGGTGGCCCGAAAGCGGTTTGAAAACCATCCTGACCCCCTGCTCGGGGTGCTGCTGGAGGAAGGCTGGTCCCCTGGCTCCCGGGGGGAGCTTGGTGCTGGAGCCAGGGCTCTCCCTTATCAGACAAACCACTCAGTGTGCTTAAACCCTGCAGCTGGAGGAACAGGAGCTCCTTACCCTGCGCTCCCAGGCGGCTTCTCAATGCCCTTCCCTGCCCGTGCCCCTGGTTAACACTGTTATTGTATCGACCGCAGAGCTGCTACAAACATGTTCCAAAATGATCCAAGATCAGGTTTTTAAACAAGTGTTTTCCTCAC